AGGTGCTTGGTCACGGTTCATCTCCATTGTGACCGATCAGCTGCGAGATTTTCCCAGGTCTCTGTGTCAATACCCACAGCCCTCATGTCATGCTTTACAGCGTCTCGGTATCGCAGCTGTGGGCATCCAGTGCGTCTACTTCCAATAACCGGCATACAGTAAGTCTTTGAGAATGCGGCCGTCTGGCATGCGGTGAACGTGGCCTAGCCAGCGGAGTCTGCGTTGCCTGAGTAAGGTAAACATGCTAGGCAGACCCGCACGAGACAAGACCTCTGTGTTTGGGACTTTGTCTTAGCACGAAATTCCCAGGATGCGGCGGAGGCTTCTCATGTGGAAGGTGTTTAGGCGTCTTTCTTGTCTGGCATATGTCGTCCATGTCTCGCTACCGTACAGCAGTGCACTGATGACGCAGGCGTTGTACACTGCCATCTTGGTCTTTTCTGTAAGCATGGGGTTGGACCACACACGTCTAGTGAGACGTGCAAGTGTGGCAGCCGCCTTTCCAATTCTTTCGTCAAGCTCCACGTCTAAGGAGAGGTTGTCAGTGACAGTGGAGCCTAGGTAAGTGAAATGATGGACCACATCAAGCTCGTAATCGTCGATGGTAATGGTTGGTGGTGTTTCTGTTCCTTGTCCCATGCAGGACGTTAGTCTTTTTCAGGCTGATGCTAAGTCCAAAGTCTTTAGAGGCCTGGGAGAAACGGTCCATCAGTAACTGAAGTTCTTGCTGAGTGTGGGAGCTTACTGCTGCATCGTCAGCAAATAGCATATCTCTTATCAGGGCTTCACGCACTTTGGTCTTAGCTCGCAGGCGGGCAAGATTAAAAAGCCTGCCATCTGATCCTGTACGCAGGTAAGTCGCTTCTTTTGATGTGCCAAATGCATGTTTTAGAAGCAAGGTAAAAAAGATTCCGAAAAGGGTTGGGGCAAGTACGCAGCCCTGTTTGACGCCGCTGCTTATGTTGAATGGCTCAGAGATGCTGCCGCTAAACTGCACAGTGCCCTGCATGTTGGTGTGGAAGGACTCGATCAGGCTGTGTACTTTAGGAGGGCAGCCAATTTTGGGTAGGATTCTGAAGAGACCCTCTCTGCTGACGAGGTCGAACGCCTTGGTGAGATCGATGAAGGCGATGTACAGGGGCATCTGCTGCTCTCTCCACTTCTCTTGAGGCTGGCGGAGGGAGAAGACCATGTCAATTGATGATCTTTCAGCTCGAAAGCCGCATTGCGACTCTGGATACACACGCTCAGCTAATTTCTGTAGTCGGACCGGAATGACCCTAGCAAAGACTTTGCCCACAGTAAGGAGATGCCCCTGTAGTTGTTGCAGTCATTGCGTTGTCCTTTGTTTTTGTAGAGGGTGACGATCTTAGCATCCCTCATGTCTTGTGGTACAGCCCCTTCTTTCCAGTACTCACACAGGACTTCATGTAAAGGCTGTAATAGTGTAGTCTTGCAGTATTTGATCAGGTCAGGGGGGATTCCGTCACTGCCTGGAGTTTTCCTTGAGGCCAAGCTGTTGATAGCCTTGCTGAGTTCGTCAATAGTGGGTTCGTTGTCAAGCTCTCCCATGACAGGTAGGCATTTTATGGCGTCAAGCGCTGAAGTTGTTACTACATTATGTCGGGAGTAGAGTTCAGAGTAGTGTCCCACCCATCTCTCTATCTGTTGTCCTTTGCCTGTGATGACTTCCCCTGTGGTGGATTTCAGGGGAGCTGTCTTGTTCTGGGTTGGACCCATTGCTGTTTTGATGCCTTCATACATCCCTCTTACGTTCCCAGTAATTGCTGCAGTCTAGATGGTTTCGCTGAGCTCTGTCCAGTACATTCACTATAAAACAACGGGCAGCTACACAAACAGATTGTGTGGGCTCCCTGTGACCCAATTTGGGGCAGGCGTAAATATGGGGCATAGACCCAATATGGGGCATAGACCCAATATGGGGCATATGGGCGCATAGACCCAATATGGGGCATAGTTTTGACCAAAACTAATTCCGATTTCATGTAACATTTTATTCCTAGAGCATCACACGTTGCTCTCCTGTCTATACAGATGAGCCAGATGTAGTTCTGCAAAGCCTCTCCTGAGTCGGCATATTACAATGAAGAACTTGTCCCTTGGTTTGATTTTGCATTTGGGTCCCCTCTTGTTGCTCACATATTGTTCATTCTGTTCACTCCCTTCGTCATAGAAGTCATCTGGTAAGTCTTCACTTGCTTTTTCTTTGGGTCGTATGTTTTCACAATCTGTTCCTTAATCAAGGTATTCCAACATCGCGTTAAAGACGTTTATGTTTGGAACACCAGTATAAAAAGCAACATCTTGGTCACGATCGAACCGATCAGCACAAAATGTCCTCGATTCTAGGCTCGAGTTGGTGTCTTCGAGGCTCTTTACTTTTAATTGGAGACTTTCGTTTTCTTTTAAAAGTTCCTCGGAACGTCTCTTTTGTTGAGCTAACACTTTCTTAAGACAAACCAATTTGCCTTGTAATTTCTTACAAGAAATACATGTCTTATCTCCATCCGTACTATCTCCAGAATAGGGAGTTTAAGCAAATCACTACGGTTGGCGCTGCTACGGCTACCGGAAGAAAACTTGTCCAGAAACAAGTCATTGCGCATGTCAGTGGTTCTCATTCAGCCGTAGCGGGAAATCCTTCTACGCGAGTGGGAAGGTTTCGGAGTAGTCTGTGGTACGTGAACTCATCTCGCTTCTTTGTTCGCTTTATACATTCTCCTGAGCAATTTTAACTTTTGAAATACACTTAACATCTTTAAAAATAGCTTATCGTGAATATTTATCAAGCTTGCTGTTCCTTACCGAGTGAATCTGCCTTTATTTTTGCAGCCACGTATGTCGAAGGATCGAAGCATGGAGAACGCAGCGAACCGCAGGAGAAATGCGTAAGTAGAAAGTCTAAC